AAGAAAAGCATGAAATAACAGCCTGCCTGCACTGTACATTTAGGATAATATACTCAAACAACTTTTTATCCTTACATCTTCCCAAGCACAGATAGCACTGGCTAAATTAACACTGCGAGACCAAGGGATTGCTTTGAAGCTATGAACAATTAAATAAGTCTGTTAGTAACAAGCCCTTATTTAACTGAACATGTTATAAATTAACTAGTTATCTTCTTTCCTTTGCTAAATAATAATTTCCTGTATTCTTTTTGTATATGTAATTTACCTCTATAAACCCAGGCCAAAAACTCCGGAAGTAGTGAAATCTGCTATTGATTTCTCAAGTCCAGATCCTCAGTTTGGTTCTTTAATAAATTTTTCATTTACCAAACTTTTAATTCACTTCCCAGGGGTGATTATTTCAGTAGACAGCTTCAATTCAGCTACCAATATCCTACTAGACCTTCCCAGGATTTACTCTATAAAGGACAAGAATTAGAAAAGAGACTCGTCTTACCCATGCAGAAATTTTGTTTAGCAGAATCCTTTTCTTTGAAGGATTTGTATTTTTCTTGATAGACTGTGATTTCATACTGGAGAGAAATACAATGTGAAATTATGACCTTTGCTTGCAAGAGTATCCTCGTGCCCTCCCCACTTCCACTGTTTTATATTGTGGATTATTGAAAGGTAACAGAACATGCCAACCCCAAAACTGTGGTATAAGGATCATTCTGAGGTGAGGGCAACCAAGAAGCAAATATGAAAAAATTTTTTGCTTTCCTCCAAAAAGCCCTTACCTAACGGTATGACATAAATTTGTAAAGGTGATCCCCCTCTGTCTCCTTTCTAACAGGAAAGTAAGAAATGTTGATTACCCAGACAACGCTAAATCTTTATTAGACTATAGAGGACACCAGAGAAATTTGCATAGCAAACTTTACTAACTTTTATTAGTTCCCTCATATAGTAACCTTTCTTTTTCTTTTTCTTTTTTTTTTTTTTAAAGATTTATTTATTTGTGCATACAGAACTGGGGTACAGGCCAGAGGCTCAGGGGCGGCGAGAGGCTTCACCAGAGACAGAGCGGGGAGCAGAACAGGCAGATGGACAAAGTACACTGCTGAGGGGAGTAGTGGGCGGGTCAGCAGAGGTATGCCACGCCATGTGGTCACCTCCGGGGCAGGCGGGAGTGGCTTTAGCTTCTCAGTGCTGTGCTTTACCCACTGCGCCACAAGGGAGGGCCTTTTTTATTTAAACAGGTTTTCTTTTCTTTCTTTGAATTTTTACTTATTTATGCATACAACACTGAGGTACAGGCTAGAGGTGCAGGGGCTGTGAGAGGATTCACCAGAGACAGTGGGGAGCAGAACAGGCAGATCAAGGAAATACACTGCTGAGGGGAGCAGCGGGTGGGTTAGGAGAGGCCTGCCACACCCTGGGGGTCACCTCTGGGGCCAGGAATCAAACTTGAACTTAAGGGGCTGTGGCTAGCTTGCAGTGCTGCATCCTAACTCATTGTGCCACCAGAGAGGGCCCAATAGTTATCTTTCTATAATGTGCTACCCTAGAACTCAAAGTCTGTTTTCTCTAGATTAGTTAAAACAGAAAAAAAAAAAAAAAAGAGGGGAGGAAGGAGTTCGTATTTTCTGTTAGGTTTATGATTCTATAATCATCAAAACAATTTTAATCCATCAAAAATAGGGTGTTGCTGGTAGTAGTATTGGTTTCAATAGTTTAAATCAGAACAGAAAGACATGTAAAAATCCATGTCCAGACTAGTGGATAAGAGTGTAGTCTCAGGCCCTTCCATTGATCAGACAACTGGTAAACAGCAGAATCAAAGTTCAAATCCAGGATTGTCTGACTCCAGAGGCTGAACTCTTTTTTTTTTTTTTTTAAACTTTATTTATTTATTTTTAAAGATTTATTTATTTATGCATACAAGAACTGGGGTACAGGCCAGAGGTGGTGGTGGGGGGGAGGATGAGAGCATTCAGCAGAGTGGGGAAAGCAGGCAGATATACTGAAATATACTTGCCAAGGGGAGCAGCGGGCAGGTCAGGAGAGGTCTGCCATGCCGGATGGGTCACCTCCCTGGCTGGGTTCTTTTTGGGTTCCTTGAGTAATTAAAATAGCATCAGGCAGATTAGCAGGAGTAAAAGATCAATTTAATTGCACATTTATGGGGAATCTATGTAGAAAGAGGATTCCAGAGACAATGAGGCATAATGGGGGTATGTATCTTGAGCTAAGGAGTGGGATAGAAGTCTGGGGCTTGGAGCAGCACCTGAAGACTTCCATGATGAGCAAAGGGTGATTTGTATGATGAAGACCAGATGTTCTGTAATTAGATGTGCCATCTAGAGAGGCTCTTCAGATGGAAAGTTTATATCTGGTTATAACCCTAACCTGGGGTAAAACCTCTTATTTTCTATTTTTTTTTTTTTTAGGTAGTTAAGGGAGTCATAAAAGTTTCTCATGAGACTGCAGGACCTGGGTTGCCCTCAACCTGAAATAATCAGGCCTAAGTGGCTCATGCTTGGGGAGGCCTGTTTTGAACATCTGGGGGAAGGCCTATCTTTCTGCAGGTCTCAGAAAAGGATGCAGCCAGAAAGTGAATATGATGTTTTTCATCTCTCTGCTTTCCCCCTTTGGGAATTCCTGTGGAGATGCTAATGATGATAGTTGACATGGATCAAAGGCAGACAAAACACAAGGTAGAAATTGCTAGAAGGAGCCTAGCTGATGGAATAGAAACCCCCTGAGGAATCCACTCCTGAATGATTAAAAAACAGCAGCCTAGCCTTTAAAGTTTGAAGTTGAATATTGGCAAGGAAGCTACCCTCCGACTTGCTAATGAGCAAGGAGAAAGGTTCAGAGAAAATGATGCTTTCTGCTATATTATCCTAAAATAGGAACCAAGTTGGTTATCCACTTTTAGTTTTTTAGCAACAGAAGAGAGTTTAGGCTGCACTTAAGTTCATATAAAACACATATCTCTGTGGGTGTGACTATTTCTCTTTAAATAGGTTGTAAAGCTGAGGACATTTCTTGTCCTCCTAGAACCTAAGCAAGGTTTCCTGCACCACTGATAATCAGTACATTTGTTGATGCTGTTATTATTTTCAGTGTAAACACAAATAAATAGTGAATGTAAAGGAACATATCATTCATTTGCTGTTCTAGGGATTTTGCTTGTCTAATAGGATAGTTCAAAGTTATGAATAAGGGCCTCCCTGGTGGCGCAGGGGTTAAAGATAGTGCCATCCAGCTACTGCCAGCCACTACAGCAAGTTTGATCCCCTGTAGGTCAGAGAGCTATCCACATGGCACAGTGGACCTCTCCTGACTCCCCTCAGAAATTATTTCAGAACATCTGCCTATTCTGTTCTCCACTTTTTCTGGTGAGCTCACACCCCAGTTCTTGTATGCATAAATAAATTAATCTTTAAAAACAACAACAGAATTATGAATAAGCTGAAAAAATACCTCATTATGTGTGACTTTCAACTGAAAGATGTCTGGAAGGTGCATATTCAAGAGAAATTAAAAAGCAGAGGAAGCCAGAAATTAAGATGGATATTTGAAAAAAAAATCTAAAAAAGAGTTAATTCCACTTGTTAAAATGACAAAAACTTAAATCTTAAGCTTACTTTGTAAAATGAGTTGGGGGTGGTAGGGGCTGAACAGGGCATGTTCTTGCAGGTTTCTCAGCTGTGACATCTTGAGATATCACAGGGGGTTTACTCAGGATGACAGTAAGGGAATAGTAGACCAAACTTGTTCATATATATTCTAGCACATTAATCAGTTAATCAACTATTCCTTCTTCACTACCCCTGTTAAATAACAAGACACAAATGAGTTAATTTTAAAGATCTAATTGGCTTTATTATACGATTCATGAATCAGGCAGCATCCCATTTAACAAGAAGACACTACAAACAGCTGTACGAAATTAAAAGGTTTTATAGGCAGAAAGAGGGCAAGTTGAAGGAAGAGGATTTAGTTCAGGTTTAGGTAATCGATCTATGAGGAATGGATAAAGGTTTTGCAACAGATTATCTACTTTCTTGTGGGGAATAGAAAAGAGTACTCATTGGTCTCGACCAGAAAATTTCCTACTCACCAGTTAAGACCACTTTCCTGGGGAAGGTTGAAGCTGCAGGGGGCTTGAAAACAACAGTTAGGTTAGCTAGCTATTACATCTTTTTGTAGGTTTAGCACAAACGTCTCCATTTTGGGCCTATTATCTTTTTTAACATCCCAATTCAACTCTCTTCCCCCTTCCTACAGCTTTTAAGTCTGTGATTCACCAGAAGGTACCCACAATTTAGCACAATGGGGCGATCAGGAGGAACCCAGTAAGTTTGCAGAATGAGTGAAATCTGCAGGATTAGGTTCTACTGCTTTATTAAGCACCGCTAGGGTCAGACCCGCGTCCAGTTCAGAGCCTAGTACAAGTCAAGCTCTCTCCCTTCCCCAGTAAGTCTAAACTGGTGCCAGCACAGCGACAGGCCACAGTGGTTCTCATTACAGGGTAACTTGAGTTGTTCGGAAATCTGGGAGAGGATTTTGCAATCAGCGACCTTAATATAGTTAGGGCACAGCCGGTACAAAAGTGGGAGAGCACCCGCCATTGCTTCAAAGCAGCTCCAAACTGACTTTTTTTAAGGACGCCAGTGGACCAAAAACAGCCGGAACCCTTGGCTAGCTACTGAGCTACTGCCGGACGGATAGTCGGCAGTAAAACTCGTGGCGCCCTTTTGCCTACAGAATCTTGTTGTCAGAGCAACCGTGGGCGTCACCAACTGACAGCGGAAATAAGACCCAAAGAGTACACGTCTCCAGCCCCGGGACGCATCCGCTACGCAGGCGCATCAGTATTTTATTGCTGTAGTTCTCAGCATGTAGACGTATTCTGCGCCTGCGCACGAGTGGGCCAGCCCCTCGGCCTCCTTGTACGCCTGCGCAAAAAGGCCACTCCAGGAGGGCGGGACCGGGCTAGGGCGGCGCGCACGCGCAAACACTCCATCCGCCGGGGTCGTCGGGTGCGTCGGGCTTGTGAGGAGCGCGGGCCGGAGTTCCAAACGCTTAACCATGTCGGCGTCGGTGGTGTCTGTCATCTCCCGGTTCTTAGAAGAGTACTTGAGCTCCACTCCTCAGCGTCTGAAGTTGCTGGACGCGTACCTCCTGTATATACTGCTGACCGGGGCGCTGCAGTTCGGTTACTGTCTCCTCGTGGGGACCTTCCCCTTCAACTCTTTCCTCTCGGGCTTCATCTCTTGTGTGGGAAGCTTCATCCTGGCGGGTAATAATACTGAAATCGAAATAAGTGATACTTTGGCGCGCTGCTTTTATTTCTCCTCACTCTTCTTTATATCAGATCGCTGCTCAGTGAAGTTAGGAGAAAATCCTCTTGTGAATGGGGAAACTGAGGCTCGGAAGGGTGGTCACATGCCGCCCAAGGTTCGAATTGAATCGCTGAAAAATCCTCCACACTACTGCTCAGTTGGTGATCCACTTCTGTTATATTGATCCAGGGGAAACGCCATTCCAAACTTAACTTAGCTTTCAAGTCGATAGACTTGTGAAAAGAAGGGCCCGTGTGAAGCATCTCTCACCTTGGCCTAATCACCACTAGTCTGGTGAAGTGTACCGGTGAACAGTGTGAATAGAGGTGCTTTGCTTGTTGCCCCATCCTCTATGACTTTTAGCAGCGCCAGCTTTTTTTTTTTTTTTTGGTAGATGAAACTTCCTTTACTTTCCTGAGTTATGGACTGGCGTGGTAGCCAGTCCAGTTTAGCTGTCATATGTACCTTTCCAGCCACTGGTTTCTACTGCTCCTTGATTTTCCAAACTTGTCAATTGCTATTTCCAAAATAGCTTTAGGATTGTCTGCAGACATTTGCAGGAATTCTCTGCTTAAAATTATGATTTATAGAATACTTTTTACACAAATTGCTAGTTCACACTCAAGCCCTGAGGTACTCTGTCTTTTCTTTCTCAGAACTTAAAGTAAGTATAAGGACTTAGTGACTTGTGCACTATCGTGGTATGGAATTGAGGAGTTAGCCTGTTAATTTATTATCTTTGAGTTTTGTCCTGGATGACCAAGTTCTGGTTCTCTGTGACAGCATCCTGGCCATCAGGAACTGATGTGTTACTGTCATCAGATACACTATCCTCTTCCTTGTAGATTCTCCCCCCACCTGCACCAATACTGTTAATGACTAAGAATTTTTAGCCTGACTGGGGAAACCATCTTTTTTAAAAAAAGATTTATTTATTTATTCATACAGAACTGAGGTACAGGCCAGAGGTGCGTGGTGGTGAGAGGCCTTACCAGAGACAGAGTGGAGTGCAGAACAGGCAGACTGAGGAAGTATACTGCTGAGGGGAGCAGCGGGTGGTCAGGAGAGGTCTGCTGTGCCATGTGGGTCACCTCCCTGGCCAGGGTTGGAGCTCGTGCTACAATGGCTGCAATGGCTTCATAGTGCTGAGACTTAAACTACTAGGGATACCCTGGAGAATAATCTTAACCTCTGGAAACTGAAGATTTTGTTTTCTGTGTCTGGGAAGAGCAGGAATAGATCAGGGCCTGAAGCCTGATTTTTAAAAAGAAAAAGGAGCCTTTTCCATGCTGAAGTCGCTTTGGGCCCTAAGCCTGTTTGGTGAGAATGACTCCTCAGGGCTAGTTGGAAGAGTGGGTGTAGACTATAGTTGTAGATTACTAGTGTGATAAAGCCAGAAGTTTTTTGAGTATATATTTTTTCCTTATACCAAGTCCTGTTTCGGGGGCTGTTGTGGTTCAAATTGAATTAGCACAGTCACTTTCCTCTTCCCCAATAAGAAGTGCATGACTTGTCATTGAAGAGAATGCTTACAGAAAGGGCACTCACTAGTGGACTATGAGGGACTGGGATTTCTAAAACTGTTAGGTACCAGGTAGTTGGATCAGAGAAATGATATCCCCTATAAGAAAAGAAAAAGGTTCATGACAATTAGTTGTGAAAACTCAAGGGCATCATTTGCATTTCTTTTGACAGCATTGACCTTATTACATCCTGCTTCTCAACCATCTGTTAGTCCAGGTCTTCAACTGGGAAATTTCAAATCTGGAGTTTAACCGTTGTTGCTGTTGTTGAGAAGGAATGCCCTGTACCTGTATTATGCTGCATTTCTAACATCGTTGTGCTGGGTTTCGCTTGGAAGAGAAGGGAGGAGGTTAGTTTGACTAGAGAAAGAATTGTAGGAGATTATGTTGAAGAATTAGTGCTGATTGCTAGAACTTTGACTGCTAGGTCAAGAAATTTGGATTTTATTATGTAGATGATAGGAACAAGCTGAGATTAAAAAAAAAAGTTGAGTAAGGGAGAGACTTAAAATTGTTGTTAGCATGTAGGGTGAATTGAGAGGAAAAGTTCTTAGCTTGGTTCCCACATTTCTTTTTGTCAGACTGTTTTCTTACTTACCTTCTGCTTATGCAGAAGAGGGCATTTGTCAATCATGTGTTTTTTAAGAGTGACATTCCAGTAACTCTTGTAGTTTCCTTTTATACCTAATTGGAATCCCTCTTTCTGCTCATTAAAAAAAAAAAAATGCTCACTTATTTATGCATACAAGAACTGGGGTACACAGGCCAGAAGTGTAGGGTGAAGGGGGGGTGTGAGAGGATTCACCAGAGACTGGGGAGCAGGACAGATAGATATACTGAAATACACAGCTGAGCAGCAGGCAGGTCAGGAGAGGTCTGCCAGGCCATGTGGATCACCTTCCTGGCCAGGGATCTAACTCTGTGCTGCAGTAATTGTGGACAGCTTCAAAGTGCTGCACTATAACCTATTGCGCCACCAGGGAGGGACCTCTTTCTGCTCATTTAAAGTACTATTTAGAAGCACTATTTGGAAAACATCAAGCTCACTTAAAATAACTTTTTGATCTTAAAATCAGTTTTTAAGTCATTTCACAATTTTGGTCAGTTCTGTTTTCTTAGTCTATATAAAATTATTATTATTATTATTTATTTATTTATTTTTAAAGATTTATTTATTCATTCATACAGAACTGGGGTACAGGCCAGAGATGTGGAGGGTGAGAGGATTCACCAGGGACAGAGCGGGGAGCAGAACAGGCAGATCGACAAAGTACACTGCTGAGGGGAGCAGTGGGCGGGTCAGGAGAAGTCTGCCATGCAATGTAGTCACCTCAGGGGCAGGTGGGGATCAAACTCATGCGGAAGTGTCCTAAGCTTCTCAGTGCAGTGCTTTAACCTGCTGCGCCACCAGGGAGGGCCCCTATATAAAATTATTTAAAAAAAAGATTTATGCATACAAGAGCTGGTGTGCAGGCTAGAGGTATCGGGTGTGTATGTGTGAGAGAGGATTCACGAGAGACAGAGTGGAGAGAAGAATAGGCAGATCTACTGAAATATACTGCTGAGGGGAGCAGCAGGTGAGACAGGAGAGGTCTACTGTGCCATGTGGGTTACTTCCCAGGCCAGGGGTTGAACTCAGAGCTGTAGTGGCTACAGATAGCTTATAGTGCTGTGACTTAACCCCTTGCGCAACTAGGTAGGCTCCTATATGAAATAATTTTGGACTAAAAACCAGTTTTCTCTTAGTGTACAAATCCCACAGGGGTTTGGATTTGAAAAGCATGGAGGCTTAAATCAGTGCTTTTTTCCGTCACATGGTTGGTATTGAGCTCTGGGACTGGCAGCATTTATTTGCTGATAGACAATTGTCTGTCAGATTTTGGTGAGATAATGTAATATTATCTCCCATAGTTGCTATCTAAGAAACAAAGAAGTTTACCAACCTTGTATCTGAGAATTCAGTTTCTAAATCATATCCATTGCTACCTCTTCATCCAGGGTGACTCAGGCTCTATGTATCTGTCCTCACTGGTCTCTTAGCCACTGGTTTCGAGGCTATCTCTCAGCTTTGTTTTGCAGGCTTAATTTGACTGCAAATCTGTGTTAACTATCCATATAAAATCTGCGCCTAGTTTCTGAAGAAAATTTAAAATTTTCCATGGCATACAGGTTTTTTCATGATCTGATCCTGTCCTTATCTCTACCTTCCTCTCTTCTGCTGCTTCTGTATTTTACGCACCAGCATTATTGGATGCTTGTTATTCCTGGAGCCTGCTGAGCTATCAGGCTATTTACCTTTGCTTGACTGCTTGGAAGATTCCTTCTTAGACCTATCTAAGCTCAAGCACTTCTCTTTGGAATCTCTGAGTGTCCCAGTAGATTTAGGTCTTTCTCTTATATTTGTGTGTGTGTGTGTGTGTGTGTGTGTGTGTGTGGATGGATGGGAGGAGTGAGGAAGGGGCAATGGAAGGAGAAAGGGAAGAGAAATAGGGAGGGCAGGAAAAGGGAGGAGGAGAGAAAAGCACCTGAGAGCCTTTTTATAATGTGCTGTATTTGTCTTCCCTCTGCAAGGTGAGCCATTTGAAGGTGGGGGCTGACTTTTCATTTTGTATCCTCATTGTTTAAACTGTATATTAAAATGTGAGCATTCGTATAAGAGTTAAAGAAACACTGAGAAATTTTGTGCCGGGTTGAGTCAAGTACTGAGTATTCAGTAGTAGAATGCAAAAATGATCGATGCTCTCACAGAGTTTATAATCTAGTGGGAAATACAGAGCAGTAACTATGGATATCTTGCTGTGATGGAGAATTGTTCGTGAGAATAGGAACACGGACGGGCACTCAACCCAACCCAATGGTCCAGTAATACGTTCTTTGTATATTTGCTTTCCAAAAATATGCTTATAACTCCTCTTCAATCTCTTCTATATTTCCACTTTTATCATCAGTTGATCCTCTTGCTTTATTTTTCCACTAAAAAAAGACTAGAATTCTTTTCTCTTCCCACCTAGAAATCACAGCAACTCATCTGTGCCTTTACCCTTATTCTCTCTCCCACCCCCCCTTCCCCTCTTATTCTTTGTGGGACTTCTCACGAAGATAGAAACTGTGTTCCTTTCCTGTCAAAGACCAACTCCTCGCCTTGGTGCTGTGGATCCAGTCTTCTTTGCTCATTTAGATCCTCAGCTTCTGCAGTCATTCTGTTCAGCATCATTAATTTCTCTCCATTGCACACACTTGCTCTGTTATTATCCAATTAAGAAAAGTTTTATTTGACTCCAGATACTCTTCCAGCTACTATTGTTTCTTTCATCTCTGTCATCACAGAATTGTTTGAAAGAATAGTTCCTGTTTCTGCTTTCTCAATTTCCATTCATACCTTAGCCGACTCTTTGTGGTAGTCTGACCCCACCACTCCAGTGAAACTGTTCTTACCATGTTGCAAAATGTAATAATGGTCACCTTATATGAAGGTTCAACATTTAGTGTTTAAGAGTCAACTGCTTCCTTCTATGTAAAATACTTTTTCTGAAGCTTTTATTGTACTACACTCCTATTTGAGGGTGTGGTTCTAGTCTCTTTTTTTCTCTGTTTTTCTTTCACAGGTAAGGTTAAATATCAATATAACTACAGTTGCCACATTTGTATTTTTCATTTTGAACTGTCTGTTGAATTCCAGTTTTAGAAATGTAGTTACCTTCTTGACATCTGTCTGATACGCACCTTCAGATTGAACCTTCCCACCCAGCGCCTGCCTTTTCTCTAATGAATACATGGTGTCAGTATTTGTTGAGTTGTTGAAGCCAGAAAAGTTTAGGTTTTCTTGACTCTTTGATTTCTTTTATCCCCTACATGTGTCTAGTAAGCCCTATGTTTTCCAAAATAAAGCCTGTGTCTCTTTACCTCTCTCAGTTTTGGTAAATGTTTTGCTAAATGAGTAAACATTTAAGGAGATAGAGTAAATTAGAACTGCTAAAATGTAGTGAGCTGCCTCAGGAGGGAGAACATTTTCACCTTTGGAAGTGCTCAGGGAGCACTGAAGGATCTTTTTTGGGATCTTTGAACAGAGTTTGTCTTTTTGATACCCCAGAGCAGCTGAGGGATATGACACTCCTATCAGTATCACAGACTCTGGGAGGTTTGTAATTCTCCACCTGGGGATGGCTGATCAGATTCTGGAAATGGTGCGTCTACTTTGGAAAGCTTCCCAGGTGATTCACACCGCCTCCCTCAGCATATGCACCGGAATAGCGCTTGGGCCTTTTAGGCATCAGTTCTGCATTGGTGTTTATGACCTCCAGTATTCTTTCCATCCATGTGGGACTCTTGATTCTTATGTGGTCGTTGATGTTACTTGGGTTATGAGATCGTTCATCACTTTACCCCTTCTCCATGGGGAGTTTCTCTTTTGTCCTCTCATATTTCCTGCAATACTATTCTATTGTTATCTGGCCCAAGAGCCACTATTAATAATTTGGTATCTATTTCTCCAGTTTACCCCCAGCTAAAGCAAGTGAGGAAATAATGGTATCTAGTTATCTGCCTGTAGCTTTAAAAGAGAATTATGGAATTATGGAATGAAAGATTTTTTTTGGCCTTTTTCACTTCAAATATCTTGGATGTTTTTATTACCAATGTATAGAGAATTTATCTCACTTTTTGGGAATAACTTCATTGCATATCTGTAGAGCAATTTATTTTTTAAAGATTTATTTATGCATACAAGAACTGGGGTCCAGGCTAGAGGTGTGGGACTAGGGGGAGGGAAATGATTCATCAGAGACAGAATGGGGAATAGAACAGGCAGATTGACTGAGATACACTGCTGAGGGGAGCAGCGGGCGAGACAGGAGTGGTCTGCCACGCCATGTGGGTCAGCTCCCTGGCTGGGTTTCGAACTACTGGCGCAGAGGCTGCAGATAGCTTCATAGTGCTGTAATTTAACCCCTTGCATCAACAGGGAGGTCCCATATAGTGCAGTTTATTTTAAATAATTCCTTGACATTTGGACTTATTTTCATTTTTTTCTTTCAGTTTTACAAATATGCTATCAGAAAGTCTTTGTTAAAAGGTAAAAACACTTTAAATATTAGTAGACATTGCCAGTGATTCTCCCAAATGGATCAACAATATGTGCTAGCCATAGCAGGATTTTTTTTTTAATTTTTCCATCATTTTGTGCATTTTTCCATCTCAGTTGTAATCCCGTGGGCTTCCCATCACCAAATCACCCTGTGCCATCTCCATAGTCCAGTACACTTCCCTTCCCCCACTGTTTTTGATCCCATTCCCTATTCCACCCCCATAAAATGTCTCTGGTATATAGCTGTTCATTATTATTATTTTCTCGCCTGGGCCATTATACTCCTTACAGCAGGATTTTTATTGATTGCTCTTGCTTCAATCAGTGTCCTTCATGTTTTGAAGGGTCTGGTTGCCTGAAAAGATTAGTGGTGCCTCTGTAGTGTTTACATGTTTAAGCATAATGAAAACTCTGTTGCCATGGTGACAGACTGGTGAACAAATCTGGTAGTTCTCTGACATTTGGTTAGATCTCATTGCTTTTTTTGTTTAGTGATGGAATGAATGCTAGCCTGAAGCAAATTGGGGTTTCTTAAGTAGTGTAGTCATTTATTACAGGCATAAAGGTTCTTTGAAAGAGTATACTTCTGGAGCTACTTTTCATGTCAAGTGGTGACCATGTCTGATATATTAGATTGAATCTTCAAGGTTATAGAATGTGGCAGCAGCCAGTTCTCTGTCAAAGTTACATAGCTTGGGTCTTTGTCCTTTTTTGAAACAAGCAGCTGCTAGAATTTTGAGGTTAAAGATATGGATAAACGTTGTATTTTTGTCTCTGTTATGCAGTGTTATACATCCTATTAGAAACTAATTCATTGTTTAACTTTTGTTATTTAATCAAATTCCTTTGTTACTATCTGAGTTATACTCTCATCTAGGTATTATAAATTTAATCAGGAGATAGGAGAGTTTCGAATTCTTTATGTGAATGTATCTTTTCCCCACTGCATAAGTCTTTGGTTTTTAGCCTGAGAAGTCATATTTTCTCTTTTAACAGTTAATAGCATGACAGTGTATAACTTCATGAATTTTTTTTGGTAGGGTGTCTTTTTTATTTATTTATTTACTTGTATTTTTACATAATTTGGTGCCTTTTCCCACCTCAGTTGTAATCCTTGTGGACTTCCCATCACCACTTCACCCATGTGCCATCACCACAGTTCCATGCACATCCCCCGGTCATCCATTTTTGATCCCATTCCCACTCTACCCCTGTAAAATGTCTCTGGAATATAATTGTTTATTATTAATTTTCCCCCCTGGTCCTTTATGCTCCTGCTATGAGTGAAACCATCTGGTGTTTTTATCTTTCTGGCTTATTTCTTTAGGCATGATCCTTTCCAGCTCCATCCATGTTACTGCAAAAGACATGAATTTATGTTTTTGATTGCTGAATAATATTCCACTGTGCATATGTACCACATCTTTTTGATCCAGTCATCTACTTTTGGGCATTTGGGTTGATTCCATCTTTCCTATTATAAATAAAGCAGCAATAAACATGGAGGTACAGGTGTTTTTTTTTGAATCAGTGTTTTTATGTCTTTTGGGTATATATCTAGGAGTGGGATTGCTGGGTTATATGGAAGCTCCATGTTTAGCAGTTTGAGGAACCTCCAAACAGTTTTCCATAGTGGTTGTACTAGTTTGCATTCCCACCAGCAATGCAGGAGAGTTCCTTTTTCTCCACATCCTCGCCAACATTTGTTGTTGCTAGTTGTTTGAAGACCTGCCATTCTTACTGGGGTGAAGTGGTATCTCACTGTGGTTTTAATTTGCATCTCCCTTATTACAAATGATGTTGAACTTTTTTCATATGCTTGTTGGCCATCTGCATTTCCTCTTTGGAGAAGTGTCTTTTTAGCTCTTCTGCCCGTTTTTTGATGAGTTGAGTTTCATCAGTTCTTTGAATATCTTTGTGATCAATCCTTAATCACTAGTTTTGTGTGAGAAATTTTTTTCCCCATCAGTGGGATGTCTGTTTTTTGTAATGTCTCTTTTGCTGTACAGAAGCTGTTTCACTTGATGTAGTTCCATCTGTTTATCCTTCCCTTCACTATAACTTGATGAATTTTTAAGTTCACTCACATAACTGCCACTAAGATCAACTCTTAGAACGTAACCAGAGCCCAAAAGACCTCCGTGCACCTTCCCAGTCATCTCTCCCACAATGAAAGACAAAATCAATTGTATTATCTGACTTGTATTGTAGATTGGTTTTGCCTCATTTTAAACTTTTATAAGTGGAATCATACAGAGTATTCTTTTTGTGTTGGATTGTGTTCAACATTGTAATATTTGTGGATTTTTATCTGTGCTTTAAGGGTTTTTCATTGCTGTGTAGTATTCTGTTGTATGATTATGTTATAATTTATCCATTTTACTGTTGATAAATACTTAGATACCATTCTTGTGTACACTTTTTAATGTATACAGGCATTGTTTCTGTTAGAATTGTTGGATCATAGGGATGTGTGTGTGTTAGCAGTCATATTGCTTTATGTTTCTAGATTATCACTTGTGTTTTGCTTTTTTTACAGTTTGCCTGAGAATACAGATCAACCCACAGAACAAAGCGGATTTCCAAGGCATCTCTCCAGAGCGAGCCTTTGCTGATTTTCTTTTTGCCAGTATGATCTTGCATCTTGTTGTCATGAACTTTGTTGGCTGAATTGTTCCTGTTAACTGAGGAGTAGGAGACTAGGAAAATGTAAGTGGTGACCATAATCTTTGTCCCCTAATGTTGATTTTTTGAATAGAAATTGGAATGGCCAAGTTTTGACCATGGTTGGTGAGGTTCCCATTTTGCTGATAAGACATTTGCAGAATTTTCCATTGACTTGCAAAGCATACATTAATGTCCTCATGATTCGCCAGTGTTGCTGCTCTTGATCATTGCCTTCTCTTCTCACTGTTCTGCAAATCATTAAGATAACAGAAAATGAGAATTTGCCTGTAGCTAATACATTAATTTCTGCATCAATAGCTCCAAGAAAATAACTCTGAGATCTTGGAAGAGATATAAATTATAGGTTCTGCCTTTAGATTTGCTCTATAATTTTTTTCTGATTTGATCTTAAATGGCTTTAAATGCTGAACTGTTGTTTCTATAGTATCTAGTACAGTGCTTATACCTGACAGGTATACAGTAGATGCTGTATGAATGACTATGCCATTTGCTAATATGTGTGCTAAAGTGGAACTCAAGGGGGAGTTTGGGTTAGCTTGGGAGAATTAAAAATATTTGTTTTGTTTAGCTGTTCTCAAGGAGTTGTTGGTCAGGCATCTGGTTTTCTGCCTCTGAATTTCTTTTTCTTTTTTAAAGATTTATTTATTTACACATACAGAGCTAGGGTACAGGGCAGAGGTGTGGTGGGGTGAGAGGAGCAGAACAGGCAAATGGACTGAAATACACTGCTGAGGAGCGGCAGTGGGTCACCTCCGGGGCAGGATATCGAACTCTTGCTGCAATGGCTGTGATAGTTTCATAGTACTGTGCCACCATTGTGCCACCAGGGAGGGTCCTGCCTTTGAATTCCTAATATTCCAATACATTTGTCATTTTTCCTTTTTTTTTTTTAAGCAATAGAGCTCTATTTTCTAAATAACTCATATAAAATTTTAGTATGTAAAACAGCGGTAAAGCCAGAGTTGTCTTGATTGACAGAAGTTGCAAAGTCCTTTTTGCTTGTCTTCTCTTCTATCCTTCCCTCTTAAATAGAATCCTAAGGCTCCGAGAATATCACAGGTGTTTTCTAAACTGTGTATCAACACTGCCATTTTATATATGAAAAAACAGCCCACATCAATCCAGTGGTCTTCCCTGTAGCATAACCAAGTGGCAGAGTAGTGCTGTGTCCAGTGGTGGTCTTGGCTGAGGACTCTTCCGGTAAGAGTATCCTGTGGTACTCTATTTTTACCAAAGAATGAAATGACTTTTCCTTTCTACAACAAAATTTAGTGTTGCTGTCATTAGGTGGTAAAGAAAACAGAATCTTAGGAAATGTCATCCCGTTTGGGGGAAGACTATCTCAGGACCAAACCTTTTTCTGTCACCCTTGGAACTTTTATTTATTTATGAAGATTTACTTCATTTATGCATACAAGAACTAGGGTACAGGCCAGGGGTGTAGGTTGTGAGAAGATTCATCAGAGACAGTGGGAGGCAGAACAGGCAGATCTATATACTGCTGAGGGGAGCAGTGGGTGAGACAAGAGAGATCTGCCATGCCATGTGGGTCACCTCCCTGGCTGGGGATCGAACTCGTGCTGTAGTGACTGCAGATAGCTTCATAGTGCTGAGATTTCAACCCCTGTGCCATCGTGGAGACCCGCCGTGAAACTTCTAACATAAGCGTTAGATCAACAAAGTACAAAGTATATGTAATGTGATGGTGTCCTTTAATTTCTGGCATGAGTTAATCAGTTACTTAAAATATTGCATGATTCTGGGCCCTCCCTGGTGGCGCAGCGGGTTAAAAGCACCACACTGAGAAGCTAAAGCCACTTCAGCATGAGTTCAATTCCCGCCTGCCCCAGAGGTGACCACATGGCGTGGCAGACCTCTCCTGACCTGCCCGCTGCTCCCCTCAGCAGTGTACTTCATGTATTTGCCTGTTCTGCTCCCCACTCTGTCTCTGGTGAAGCCTCTTGCCACCTCTGGCCTGTACCCAGTTCTGTATGCACAAATAAATAATCTTTAAAAAAAAAATATTGCATGATTCCATTCCATTATTGATACTGCATCCAGAACAGTTCTCTTCAGGTAAGGTTTCATTTTGGTGCTGGTAAGTTGACAGAGATGGTTTATTTCTATGAAAACGCTTGAGAATTACTTCCCTCTACTATTCTCATACAGTTTAACTCTTTGGATACCTATTCAGGGCCTTCCCCTGCTACCCCTAACCCCTACCAAATGTGCTTTGTTTTTGTTTTTGTTTTTAGAGGTTTATTTATTTATGCATATAAGTACTGAGGTGCAGGTCAGAGATGTAGGAGGTGAGAGGATTCACCAGAGACAGAGGCAGGAGCAGAACAGGCAAATGGACTGGGTCAGCTCCCTGGCTATGGATCGAACTTGTGCTACAGTGACTGGGGATAGCTTCACAGTGTTGCGCTTTAAGCTGTTGTGCCACCAGGGAGGGCCTGCCATTAAATGCTTTGTTACTGGCAATACAGAGACAAGTAAAATGGGCTCCTACCTTCAAGAAGTGAACAGTGTAGTAGGAGTAGTTAGAGCCACACCAGAGATCTGTATACTGTGTTGTGGGAGCCAGAGGAGGCCACTGGTTTATTTGCAAGCAGAGACGGCAGACCTGGTGCCTCACCACCACAGCCTGGAGCAGCTAGTGAACAGTCCCACCACCACTGACCTTAGACTCGGAAACCTGAGTGACTCTCTGATAGTAACCTTGCTCAAAAGCCTTATGTCTTTGGATGGCTTTACTTTAGATATCTTTAAGTTTTTTTTTTTTTTTTTTCTAAATGAGTCATGGTGTATAGTTAAGAAGGAAACAGAGCAAACATTTCAGGCATGTTCTTTAGACTCCAGGAGATAGCAAATCATAGAAAATTATTACCTGGGTTGTCGTGATTGGAGGAGGACTCTGTTGCAGAGAACTTAGTATTTCAAAATTATGACATAACAGAGACAAGAATAGCAGGCTCAGCAGAAACTGCATCCTGCAGACCATATTATGTGGACAACTGAGGGCCAGTTGGGAATCATGGACCCAGAGCCAGGAATCTCCCAGCTTCAGGTCATAGTGTTGAATTGTCTGAGAGAGTATGTTCACAGAAAAATCTTCTGAGGCTTTTCACAGAGTTCCTTTATTTAATTGTTCTCTCAATTTTTAAATATTCACCTATTTGTCATTTTTTTAAAATAACAGTTTATTTTTACATCATTTTGTACATTTTTTTCCCATCTCAATTGTAATCCCTGTGGGTTTCCCATCACCAAGTCACCTGTGTGCCATCACCATAATCCCATGCACTTCCCTCCCC